TATCAATACATAGTATAAAACAAAGTCGCTTTCGCTGTATGTCCGTATGTATGCTTAGATCTTTAAAACTACGCAACGGATTTTGATGCGGTTTTTTTTTAATAGATAGTGATTCTTAAGGAAGGTTTGTATGTATATACATATTGCACCCGTGCAAAGCCGGGGCGGGTCGCTAGTAAAATATAAAATAAAAAAAAATATTCATCTTTTAATCACGAAACGAAATATTACATAAAATCCTTACTAATATTATAAATCGGAAAGTGTGTTTGTTCCGCCTTCACGCCGTAACTACTAAACCGATTGCTTTGAATTTTTGCAGACGTAAAGTCCGTATTAAATAATACTTTTTATTCCGAAAAAAATTGATATTCCCGAGGGAAAACAAAAGTATTGGTATAGATGGCGCTGTGTGTGTCACATAGGTTACGTTTTATCCTTTTGTGACGCGAGCGAAGCCGCGGGTAAAAGCTAGTATTACATAAAATGAAGCCATCTGGTGGCGAAACGGAGTTCGCCGGGGTTTACTAGTGTAGCATAAATTTCTATCTTATTTAATTGGAATTTCACACAGGTTGATGTGATCCTGGTTCTGGACAATGAGAGACTTTACAACGAGCTCAAGCGAGACATGCCTAAGTTTGTGAAAGTCGTCTATTTACCAAAGAGTGGAGGTGTGAGTATACTGTCTTTGTTGATACGTGAGTTTTGATATAATTGCGTTCCTGTATCTGTCTGCCTCCACGGGAATAAGGCGTGAGTTTATCTTATTTTAATTTATGTTGTGCATTCAGCCAGAAATGTTATTTAAATACGTGCGCACAAGAGATGTACACAAGCGATGAATTCCCCAGATTTAGACTAGATAGACCAGATTTACACTATAATGAAACAAGATATAACTCTGATAAATGTTTTTTTATTGTTGTCTCACATTAGGATTTTACTCCTGTTTCATGGGTTATGATACATTTTCATACATACAAATTCACATACCCATGACACCCAGACCCGAAACAACAATTTGTAGATCACATAAAAATTTGCTCCGTGCGGGAATCGAACCGGCTGCACGTTGCGCGGCAGCTGGTTGCCCAACCATAGCGCCAACTGTGCAGTCAGTGGTGTATTATTAAATCATCAAAACATTAGCTACAATAAGTAATTGGGTGTATCAGGTGGTAGAAAGGTCGTCGACACAGCGCGCGGAGGCCCGCGACGCGCGCATCCGCGAATATTTCTATGGCAAACGGACGCCGTACTACCCGCACTCCTTCGATGTCAAGTTCAACGACTTGAAGATATATAAGGTAGGCTCGCTTTTATTATTTATTTAAAATGATAAATTGGTATGTGGTCTGGTCATCATCAGCAGCTATAAGGGGTAATTTTTCATTCAATTGCTTCACCCGTCTTGGGTGTGGCGAGAGAGTGTCAAACTTTTACTGATTGAAAACCACTTCATTTCTACTATTTCTTCGAGCTGGAGCCCCAGTGATTTTTTAGGCCGTCCGCAGCTCCGGTAATAAGAGGCCGTAGAAATATTATATAAGCAGATTTTTTACATTTTTGGAGACTGAGTCACCCCCGTCCGTAGGAGAGTACCCATATATTAAAATCATCCCTACACGGGCCTCTGGGTGGTGCGAATCGGGTGACACCATGGTGGTAGGCTTCGGCCGACGGCCTTATGACCACCCACCGAGCAAAAACGTGTCGCCAAGCGGCCTAGCCGTGTCCCGCCACGATGCTTGGTGACGCCGATTGAGGGGATGGGTCGAAGTGGATGTTCCAATGCAGACTAACCGTTCTGACGCGCGCTGGTCTAGCAGCATCGGGTGGCCAGTCACGGAGGGTAGCGGGATCCGAGGCACAGTTCACCGCTGGCCGACCGCGGATAGTTGGGGGCCCAAGTAATGTGCTAGCCACACGTGAAATGCTGCCCCGCCATCTGTCGAAAAATCCCACGGGTACGCCATCGTGCCGGTTGGCGACCGGAGGAGAGGGCCCGATGGATACCCGTGGGGGGGCTCGGCCGTCCCCGCGGTCTCCGGGCTGGCCTCCTAATGATGGGGCTAACTACGGTGCGCGTCTGTGGGTTGTCTGTGTAGAAGCCCATTTCACTGCCATCCCCTCAGCAACCTTTCTTCACTCTCAAATGTCAACAAATAAACGGAAAAGGTTCTCACAGCGGCAGCACTCCCTCTCCCTCAAAGTGCACTTCTCAAACATCAGAGGTCTGCACTCCAATCTCAACGCAGTCCACCACCATCTTGAGACTGAGAACCCAACACTCCTGTTTCTTTCGGAGACCCAGATCAGATGTCCGTCCGACGTATCGTATTTAGACTACCCGGGATACTCCCTGGAACATAAATTCGTTCCACGCGCTGGTGTATGCCTATACGTTCGCGACGGCGTCTGTCACAGGCGTCTCCGAAATCTTGAGGACCCCAACTTCTCTATTGTCTGGATACTCGTGGACATAGGCCTGGAAAAGATTATTTATGCCTGTGTCTACCGGTCGCACAGCGGAGACTTGGAGACGGCCAGGTTGGTGCGACATCTCAGTGACATCTCTATATGGCTTTCTTTCTTTCTTTATTTATTTATTTACCCCCCCCCACCCCCTTGTCAGTAAAAGTAAAGTTACCCTTTCCCCCTTTGCTTACGTAAACATTTTAAATGATATCTTTTTTTATATTGTAATTTTAAAATTATCTTAGATACCATAATGTCTAGTTCTTTATCGGTCTTTGCGTAATTTATAATTTCAATATGAGTATTGCCACGCGTGTCAAAAAGTAAATGACTACCGATGATGTAATCATCATCTAGACTCCTCTACCCCTCATATCTAATGGAAATAAAACTCAACATGCTTTCATGGTGGCGAACAGTGAACTAATCCTTTATTTCGTCCGGAAACAAATCAATCGTACAAAGGGAATGAAATCAATAAATCAATAGAGTGACAGAAATACAAACAGTCGTTCTTTATGCTTAAGTTATCTACTAGTGGCAATAGATGGCGTTAGTTGTTTCATTTGATGCACAAATTCTAACAATATCATCCAAAATGAGCAAAACAGAGACTTGAATGGGCTGAGGGGGCAGTAGGAGGTATAGATGTATTGGTATGATTGCAGGTGGGCGCGCCGTCGCTGCCGGCGTCGTGCATGCCGCTGGGCATGCGCGCGGCGGACGCGCTGACGAAGGTGGTGCAGGTGAGTCCGTCGGGCGCGCTGCAGCACCGCGTGCTGGCCGTGTCGTTCGCGGCCGGCCCGCACGACGACGTACTGCACTCCAACCTCGCCGGCTTCGTCTGCGTGTCAGTACCTTCCACTATCTTTATATATATCATTCTGCAGCACCGCGTGCTGGCCGTGTCGTTCGCGGCCGGCCCGCACGACGACGTACTGCACTCCAACCTCGCCGGCTTCGTCTGCGTGTCAGTACCTTCCACTATCTTTATATATATCATTCTGCAGCACCGCGTGCTGGCCGTGTCGTTCGCGGCCGGCCCGCACGACGACGTACTGCACTCCAACCTCGCCGGCTTCGTCTGCGTGTCAGTACCTTCCACTATCTTTATATATATCATTCTGCAGCACCGCGTGCTGGCCGTGTCGTTCGCGGCCGGCCCGCACGACGACGTACTGCACTCCAACCTCGCCGGCTTCGTCTGCGTGTCAGTACCTTCCACTATCTTTATATATATCATTCTGCAGCACCGCGTGCTGGCCGTGTCGTTCGCGGCCGGCCCGCACGACGACGTACTGCACTCCAACCTCGCCGGCTTCGTCTGCGTGTCAGTACCTTCCACTATCTTTATATATATCATTCTGCAGCACCGCGTGCTGGCCGTGTCGTTCGCGGCCGGCCCGCACGACGACGTACTGCACTCCAACCTCGCCGGCTTCGTCTGCGTGTCAGTACCTTCCACTATCTTTATATATATCATTCTGCAGCACCGCGTGCTGGCCGTGTCGTTCGCGGCCGGCCCGCACGACGACGTACTGCACTCCAACCTCGCCGGCTTCGTCTGCGTGTCAGTACCTTCCACTATCCCACTATCTTTATATATATCATTCTGCTGTGCATATGTATATCATTGAACTCCTCCTAAACGGTTTGACCGATTTAAATGTTTTTTTCTGTATGCGTATGAGTGGCACCCTGGATGGTTTAGATTCACAAATCAGCCCGGCAATTGGCGATGCAGTCGTCATATGTAGGACAACGTCTGTCGGGTCCGCTAGGATTTTATAAAAACTATATGGACATTACATATATTTATGACCGTATAAGATGAATGTGATTATTTGTTTCTAAAATAAATTAAATAATGTATTTTTGTTGTAAATATGTCAGTTACTGTAATTGGATTTCTACCGTTGTGACTGTTTAAAAATAAATAAAAAAATTGATCATTTTATCCTTGATATATGCTATATAACATGCTATTAATGTTGAGAAATATCGATATTTTGCTACTCACTGAACATAAAAGTCTTATAAATTCTGAAAGACAAGTATGAAAACTATACTTGTGTAAAATATCTATTAATTGCCCACATCTACATTGTTCCTTGACTCTACGAAGATACATGAGGCCTACTAGGATATTAACAAACTTGAAACTAATACATGATTATAACTTACAGTACGGCAGTGGACATGGACCGACAGATGCTGACGATCCTGTCCCCGCAGCCGCGGCCGCTGCCTAACACCGTCCTGCTCCTGTCGGAGCTGCAGTACATGGACAACCACTAGTCCGTGCTATTTGGCCCGCGGGTGCGTCACGCCTTCTGTAACATCTCGCTCACTCATTGAGCGGGACCTTCATTGTGTGTGCTCTTTTCTTTATAAAGGTCAGTTAGGACGACTAAGGAAATGGTATAAAAGTCACCAGTTCATCACCACTGTTAATATATCAGTCACAAGGTGTGAACTGCTGGATATGGGGCTTTTAGATCACTTTGTTAGAATTAGAACATGAATATAAGAAGTTGTCGTCATTTTTTATTGAGACATAGGTGTCGAATTATGGATTAAAGAAAATATTGATGTGAAAATGTGTTGCTATTAATTTTCTGATTATGAAATTATTCTTTATGAATTTTGTATGCCAAGGGAAGGTTTTTTTACGAATGAACCATGTATAATGTGTAATTTTATATTAATCAATTTTATGTGCATGCATTAATAAAACAATGAATAATGTTTTCTTTTACGTAATATGAAATACGCTCCTAGAACTATGATAGCATTATCATATTTGTTTTACATTCAAGATCAATTTCTTCATCAAATTAACTTTCGACCGAAATGAGAAAAGAGCACATTGTGATAGTTACATTGCGTTACGCAGCCGGGAGTCAAACTTGTGTCCTTGGTGATGTGATATGTGACAGATCTCCAGATCTAAAAACTGCCTGTACATATATTTAAAGTAGACATTTTAACGAATAATAATAAAAGACTGTTGTTTTAAAACGACCATGTAATACTAATTAAAATGATATGTGAAATATAGATTTTATTTTATTGTATCTCTTATTGCCCCAAGGTGTATAAACTCGTGGATTTTATTTCTACTCTCATTCTACGGAAGCTATACTTAGCTTGTCAGCTTCTACGATGTTCTCATCTACAGTACATACTGAAACAATAAAATCCGGCGCTTCCCAGGGACATGAATATCTAATGCCCGAATACTGAAACGCTTCTCAGTTTTAAGTCGCGTTTAAGTACACCTCTGTCTCTACAAATTCTTTGTAAAATTATTTTAGTAGTAGTAAGATATTTTCACATTCATAAGTTTATTATAACTAGTGAGTATCCGTGAAGTACGTGGGTTTATTCTACTCCCTTATCGTTAGCAGAAACCAAACCACCAGTTTTCAAAAGTATTGATTATTGTGTGCGAGCCATGCTTCTGCACGAATGGGCCGGCTCGACCGGAGTGATACCACGGCCTCACAGAACCGACGTGAAACCACGCAAGCGTTGTTTCATGTCGGTTCTGTGCGAGATTACCGGAGGTTCAATTATCCCACTTTCCCCAATCCCTAAACCCCCAAAATCCTCAAATTCCGAATCTCCAAAGGGCCGGTAATGAACTTGTAACGCCTCTGGTTTTCTGGGTGTCCATGGGCAACGCCGAATGTTTACCATCAGGTGATCCCTCTGCTCCTTTACCGGCTTATATATCCCATAAAAAAAGCATTTTCCCCGAGACTCGAACCACATTCAAAACTTCAAGGAAATATAAACAAAAATAAATTAATAAGTAATAACTTTATTTATTTACAAAATAGAGAATAGAGGTAGAACTTATTTATTTACAGGAAGACTTACCATTGAGAATTTCATTCATAACAGTACATAACGTGTTTAAGGCAACCACACTAGGTAAATATTTATTAGCCGTCATAGTAATAAAAGGGTATAACAATCTGAACTTGGTACGAACTCGATTGGTTGGTTCATTGGAGCAGGGCAATCAGAGGCCTTAGTACGAGTTTCTTTTACGTCGTAACGAGTACGCGTTCTGTGTTGTGATTGGCCGGCTCCAATGAACCAACCAATCAGAGCGCCGGACGAGGTTTCGTTTACTTTAAACGTAAATCAAACTTGTACTAAGGCCTCAGTACGTCGAACGCGGTCTCTTCGATTACTTTAAACTGTCAAACACCAAGCGGTCACCGGTGACCGCAACCTATTGTTCTATAATTGTGTCTACAAAACCGGTACTCGACGAGTTAAACGTAAAAAAAGTCGTACTAAGGCCTCTGATTGGTTGGTTCAATGGAGCCAGCCAATCAGCGCCGAACACGAACTCGTTTGGATCTCGTTAAACGTAGAACAAATTCGTACTAAGTTTTCAGAGAAAGTTGTATAAGTATTGATATCTCTAAACATTAAATACAACATATTTGCTTCGCTAGAGTAATGTACGGTATACTCAACAAACGAGTTTCGTACTGTCTATTTAAGTATTCAACTTCTTTTAATTATGATGAAGACCAACACCACGCTAACAAATTATATTTTGCATGAATCCCCGTACAATCATAACGTTTCGAAATTTTCATTCAAATATCCCCCACTTTTTGACAGCCACGTTATTATTCGTATATTATTGTTGCGTTATTATTTTTTATTATAGAATAAACTCTAAATACTGGCTCAACTAGATAATTTAGAGTTTTCAAAATTATACATAAGACGCCCCGTCTAGTGTAGGCTTCATACAATAATAATATACTTAACAAATCATATAATAAATTACAAAATGATTAATACAATTAAATAATGTTTATATAAAATAAACAATACCGATCAGAAACCACCAACATTCCACCGAAATCACAGTTTTTCCAACTTGACCTCATTCAATAAAGATAACATAACATAACATCACGCCGTTTATCCCCGAAAGGGTGGGCAGAGGTATACATTATGCCACTGTACAATGTAACACCCACTTTTCACTATTTATGTTATGAGTCCCATGTAATAGGGGGTGAGCCTATTGCCATATACCGGGCACATTTGCAGACTTCGTGCTACTACTGAGAATTTTTTAAACCCAGTAATACTTTGCCCGATCTTACTATTTTCTAAGAAAAAATACTTTTACTTTGATGAAGCTAGATTGAAATTGGATATTGTTTTGTGTTTGTATTTTTTTTTTAAATTTTGCAATCTGAATAAATACTGTGAAACCTGGTTAAGTGAGACATCAAGGGACCTACAATGTCGTTTCACTTATAGAGGTATTCCACTTACCCAGTGTCTCAGATATACAGGTATAAATAAATATCTGTCTCATTTACAGAGGGTTCCATTAATAGAGGTGGGCTTGGAATTACGTGTGGAATTTGTGGGTAGATAAGAATGCGTAAACAAACAATGTTATCTCAGTTACAGAAGTTTATGCATGTAAAATTTACTCCCTGTCTCAGTTATAGAGGCTATAATGATAAATCGAAAGAACAAATCCCATATATAGAGGTTTACCTCGTCCTACTAACAGAGGTAATTCAGTGCCAAAGTTTCACCGTATTAATATTGCATTACAAAGTGATAGGTAAAAGGTGTGTTTGCAGCAGTTTCTGAGTTTGTTTTACGTTCAAAGATAGAAACGAGACCTCGTTCGGCGCTCTGATTGGTTGGTTTGTTAGAGCCAGCCAATCAGCAC